TGGTATGTATTTCCACGTTCGAGGATTATAGAAAAAAAATTGAGCTTTAACATTTTTTCAATGAAAAAGATAAATACTAGATCTGGGGTCCGTATCTTGACAGCTCCGGTAATAATTGATCCTAAAAAGCTGTTTTCATTCGGGAACAAGGTATTTTACAGCGACTTATGGGAATCAAACGAGGGTTTTCTTTCCTGCAACATACCAAAGAAAATTTTACCCCCCTTAATTTGTTTTCAAACGACTGATTACGGCGTCGGGGCAAGTTTCAAAAGAACAGATTCAACCGAGTTTTAGTCACGTTCCAATGAATTGATTACGGAAACTAATCACAATAAAGAATACCTCCGGCGACGAAGATTTAATGACATGTTTTTCGAGCAAGATATGAGCAAGATATGAAAAAGCCAGTGACAACGGAATTATTAACATGAGAGTCTCTGGATGTACAGCATCTGTAGCTGTCGAAGTTTACTCAGCCTCGATCAATATAGACGGAGAAGCACGAAACTTTTGGAAATTGTTTTGATCACAGTTTCAATAATTGCCTTGAATGATTGCCAAAATTGACGTAGTCGCCAAAACTTGTCATTGTCATGCTCCATTATTTACGTATTATAAAACAAACTTTGCTGATTTAACTGCATTTTCAGCCGACTCAGCCCTAAACCCTCTAAAGGCATTAGAATTATGAGAATCATTGATCGAAGATGATGCTGCAAGTTTTGGGGAAATGAATGATTCATTACATCTCCATGAAAACCTTGACAATCATCTATAATGACTATTACTTTAATGAAAGACGAGCTACTTAAAATACCAACAGTTTCTTCCTGATACCATCTATTGTTATGTAAATCCTCGGTGAAAGATATCAGGGGGCTTCTTAGAACCGACACCGTGCAACTTGGTGAAAAACAACAACACTTGTAACATTTCATTTATGCGTACATTAGTTCTCTTTTCTCCTAGTTTCCACTAGCTTCTATTTACGTCTACTTCTCTTTGCTCTCTAAAGGTTTTTGAAAGGCCGTTAGCCATTCACAACTATCTTTTGTACGTCAAAGGCGAATACAAAAACCCTCAAACCGTTTCCTATTTCATGCGCACACAGGAATAAAGCCTTTTACTCATCAAGAAAACATTTTCCCCCAGGCACGTAAAAGATAATTGATGTGTTTGGAATGATGGCAAAGAAAAACGCAAGCCAACGGTGGTGCATAAGGTTTAAAAAAAAGAAACGAAAGAAAACGTTGCCTTCAGTTAAAAGCAAACAAATCTGCACGTCCTTTAAACTCAATGGTTCATTTTTTTTCATCGCGACAGCAAGGCCAGGACGTAAAATTTCCCAACGAGGAATTTATTGAATGAGTTAAAATACATAAATTAGTCTAGAGAGAATACGAAATATTATGGAAGCGGCACAATAGGAATCAATGATCTGTGGCAAAACGGTCGCTGCGTAAATAACAAGCACTCTTCTAGCGGATGCAATTTAAGGCGTAGGTTGAAACTGTTGTTATTCAGCCTCTGAGTTCAACTGAAGCAGTGGTAAAGCTCTCTACTTCAACAAAGGAAGATGTGGCTCGCACATGTATATTTCGTATTGTTCATTTGTGCAAACTCGCTCGGTAAGTCTTTTCTTTTCACTTTATTTTTGCAACTCCCAAACTAGAGCTGCATGTTTACATCCAGAGTTAACATAAACTTGTTGCGTTCTCAGTACCCTGAATACTGATCGTCATGCAGCATCCCGAGGTACAAGTCTTCCATATTTACCGTTTGATAGCCGCGTAAAAGTAGTTATTTTTGGCATGCTTCCGCCTGAAAGGCTCCCGTCGGATTTCAACGCTTGACACAAATTTGTTGAGCTCCGAGGCAGGACGACGGTGCCTTTGAAGATAAGTTAGGCTTGACAAAACTTGTCTCCCGTTTTCGCAAAATTAACAAAACTTTGGCCATTGCGCCTAAGCCATAGGCTTCATTTATCATGTTTGTGCAAGACGTAATTTAAGGAGGTGGAGAGCCCTTCAGATACGAAAAAAAGACATTTGACGATAACAACTTCCGCAAACAAGGTCTAAACATCTACAAATTAATCGCAATTCTTGACAACTAAATTTAGAACCAACTGAATATTTGCAATTTCCTGAAGGGTAATTGTGTAAACTTTATTTGTACTTTATATTCATAGCTAAGATAATTTCCATAGTAACATTCAAACGGAAACGTGATATTGTCCGGGAGACGGTGAAAAGGGAAGGTTTTTATTCATCTTTTTGTTTCTGTGAAGTTCTCGCACAGGGACGAGCCACTGAAGACTGTAATTCTCCTGTGGCACTGATCCTATTTCTTGTTCCGAGTTGGAATCAATTTGGTTTTATATGTGACAAATTAACATCGGTAAAGAAATCGGCACTGGATTATGTCAAAATTTGTCAATATTGTTCGACAGCAATCGCCATGAGTGGAATTTATTTTCATGTTCCTTTCGACAAACTAGCTTGCTCAAATAAATGCAACACTTTGAGAACTTGTCAGTAAAGCCAAAGGTCTGCTAGAATTATTTGATATTTTGATCTTACAAGACCTAGAAATGGTATTCCACCATTTCGACGACAGATTACTTCCAGTTCATACGTATATTTTACTCTCTCCTTGCCGATTGGAAACACATAGTATCAAGCACAACAAATTTAAGGATCTTTATGCCACTCCTTCGCCGACAAATTATTACGAACTTAGTATGCAATGTTTTTCTTGCATGGGATCAAAGCGGGCAATCCTGAATGGGAAAAATGGGCTCGGGTAGCCAATCAGAACACAGGTTTCGCCTCATATTGCCCACGGGCGCTACCAGCGATAAGATAAAAGTATTTAATCAACATTCGATTGCATGCATTTATAAAGTGTGCTGAGCAACTTCTTAAAAATAATAATTGATTGATGGACTTGATTTTAGTAATATTAGTAATTCTATATTCAATTCATGTTAGCATTCACAGTAGTTTGTAATTTAGTTTTAAGCAGTTCTTTGTGAATAATGTATCGTAAGTGATGTATTGTAGGTAATGTGTTGTAATAGTGTTTATGTGTCGCAAGTAATGAATGTCGTTGTAAAAAAAAGTGATTGTACATGAAATCTATGCTTCTAATAGCAATCCGAAAAGTGACCGAGGTAAGGACATGCCTTAAAGGGAAAATAGGAAGTTTCCATAAGAGTGTTAGACTTTTTTGTTGACAAGAAATTCAAAAGTTGATTTGAAGCAAAAACTTAGTGATAACTTAAAATGCTGCTCAACTGTTTTGCCGGCGGGGTAGCAGTTAATATGAATTTGTCTCAGAAACAGTGCGGTAAACTGAAATTATTGTGAGTTATTAAACCTGTTCTATTTTCAAGCAGTGGTAGGGCAGAAGCACAATATATCACAGTCAGTAGAGTATCGATTAAGGAATGTCCTCCTTTCTTCGTACGACAAAATGGTACGTCCGGTGTTGAAGCCGTCAGATGTTGTTGAAGTCAAATTTGATGTGCAGTTCTTGGCCCTCGCCGAAGTGGTAAGCAAAACCTTACAACGGTGTTTCCAGAAAGTGCATTCCTCATCAACTGCAATTAACTTGTACCGGTAACCTAGCAAGGCTAAAATATGCATCATAACTTGTAAGACTTAGGTAGAGGTGCTTTTTTCTTGTGGCAACAAGGGTAGACCTTAATACAGGGAGCCCCACGTCAAATCCTGGATCCAGAATTTAAATCCTGTACCCTTGTTATTTGTCCACCTCGTCAGACCCACATCAAGTTGGATTACCCACATGTCTCAAGTTACAATGATTCTATTGACCTTTTTATTTTCCTTAAATTTTGTTTCATCGAGTAGCACATCAGAGTTAGATCTAAGCCCTAACACACAAGATGTTGAGCATAAATACATCTTCATAGTGTGAACGTAGTTCTGCGTCCGTCATACTGAATACAACCACATGTACCTCGTAATAGCCAAAAAATTCTGTAACATCAAAGAATAATGTTCCAAGAAGTGTATCTGCTGGCTGGCTTAATTTTTTTCAATTTCGATTTTCGGATCACTCTTAAACTAAACAGCCGTGGTATTTTAAAACGTCAATGGTACCTCCATTTTCAGTTACCCTCAATTTATAGATAAAATGTCCTCTCTCAGTAAGAACTTTTTTATCTATTGCACACAGGACAATAAAGAACAAACTGTGACAGCAGATACAGTGATCACGCAGGTACGTTATGATTCAAATCAGGAAAAGTGCAACCTTACAAGGGGTCATATGGAGATCTTAACACAACGCAATTGTGACTGCCAACAAAGTTAGGTTTCAACACGCGAACGCTTTAAAATTTATTTACATTACGGTTGATCGTGGTTGCTAAAGGGAACAAATAATTACAACGAATTTAAGAGATCCTCACTGCTAAGAACACTACTGAACTAGTAGTAGAAAAAAAACCGGCTCCCAGTTGGTTTGTTAGCTCAGTTGGTAGAGCGCTGCATCGGTCATGGGTTTAAATTCCGTGCGGGCCCGAATTTTTTTTCTGGTCCTATTTTCTACTACTAGTTTAGTAGTGGTCTTAGCTGCGTGGATCTCTTAAATTCGTTTCTTCACCGTAGTGCAAATATATGAATTTCATACATGCAAAATCATTATTCATCACTTGGATGGTTTATTTGGACCCAACATGTTAACCAGCTCCTAGTTGGCTTGTTAGCTCAGTTGGTAAAGCGCTGCAGTGGTATCGCAGAGGTCATGGGTTCCAATCCCGTAATAGCCTGGGTTTTTTTCAGGTCCTATCTTCAACTACTAGTTCGGTAGTGTTCTTAGCTGCGAGGATCTCTTAAATTCGTTTCTTCACTGCAGTGCAAATATATGAATTTCATATATCCAAAATAATTACAAGTTATTACATAGCAGAAGGAATAGGAAAACGCAAAACAAGGAAAGACACTTACAAACGTTGTGTGACTTGCGAGCACGAAGGACAGAAAAACTAAAAGATGATCACAGTGAAGGAATCGATGTTAACCTAATGGACTCTGATACTCCAATGTTCAATTTTTTTGAGAAACTTTTACGAATGAAATTAAACAAAGCAGAATTATGGGAAAAATCTAACAGAATACAAATCGCCACGAGTGAAAAGAATGCGAAAACAATAAGCAAAATGTGCGTGCAAAAACGCAAATGTAATTAGGAACGTAGAAGGAAAAAAATCACAAAGTGGGAATGCCGCAGTAACAGAAACCTTCTAGTAGACTTCATTACTTTACTTCGTAGAAGATCCAAAAGAATTCTGATTTATTTGTCTCAGTATATCTAAAGCAATTGGAGCGAGGTTGAGACAATCGTCAAACCTTTTATTGATTCTCCCAGACATGCATTATTCAGCCATTCATCCCTTTGTCCATCGTTTCGTTTTTGTCTTTTTAGCAAATATTTCATCACATCAACCCGTAAATTGATGTATCCTGTCCCTATCGTTAGTTAAGGGTAGTAAAATAAAACTGAGTATATTTTAAACCTGGCTTGGTGGCTGATTGCAAACAAATGAGGGAAAAGGGTTGCAAACGTCATTTTGATTTAAAGTAACCAGATTTTAAATAGGTCACATAGTAAAACTTAACAAAATAGGTAACTGACGCCAAGCTGTAGTTGTCGGTAGGTCAACTGGAAACAGATTAAGCTCATGACCAAACATGAGTTGTCACAAAGTCTTATAATTTTATTCCTTGGCGTACAGGAATGGAATAATCCTTACCTACGTTGGGATCCTTTGAATTATGAAAACTTAACACGGATACTTGTGGATCCAAGAGAAGTTTGGGTACCTGATATAGTACTAGAAAACAAGTAAGTTGAATTCTGTAGCAATTTAAGTAAATAAATGTTGCCTTTGGCTGATCAAGGATGAGGCTTTTATGACACTTTGGAAGTATCAAGCATTAAGCTAGTGTCCTAAAAGAAACCGTCGGGAAAGATTGAAATGCCCGAGTGTTCATACCAAGTAAAAGGAGGTTTGCACGTGCAAGTATTATTCAGTTGATAATCAATATTGAAAATACACTCCAAATTTTTAGACTGCGAGATTGTTTTGCATCGTATTCGGACTTCAAAATAAAAGATTAAATGAAAAATCAAGAAAAAAGAAAAAGAAACATAAAAAGAAACTGAATGTTTTTTTCTTACTTTTTATGCAACCATGAATTCACTCCACAAAGCTAGCATTGAGGACTTCCTATTGGAGCATTTTAACTTTCATCACGAATAAACGGGCATACAGTGATGCGGCTAGCACATTCCTCTCTGGGTCTGATTCAAGATACTGGACTCAAAGTTGTTTTAAAACCAAATTTAAATTTCGTGAACTCATAATGAGTCACAGTTCTTTAATGGGTATAAGTGTTATGAACTTCTAAAATTAGGAATGTTCTGGCGATGAGTTTGGGGATTGTTTAGGCCTATTAGATTATCTTGAAATCATTGTGCGAGTCTAGTGAGCCTTGGTTTTTCATGTTCTGCAAGACCACACATTACGTTCAGAGTGATGTGTTCTTGACCATTATAATGGGTCTTAGTTATTTTACGATAATCGTTGTTGCTTTTTGTGTTGAGTTTGTGCTGGACCTTTTTCATTTCGAATGTGAGGTGAAATCGTTTTTAACGATCTAAAAATATGATTACTCTTGCAAGATCAGTTGTCCCGCAAGTTCAAACATGCCTATTGATGGAATATTTAAGAGCGCGTACTCAGGGCTGAACTAGAGAGAAACAGAGACTTAGTCATTCAGACAAAGAGCCATTAAGAGTCTGTAACCCTTTAATTCCCAAGATGTCCTTAGTAATTCTCCTTACTGTCTGCCATACAGTTCTTGTCATGTTAGTTTGGAGAATTTGGTATTGGATCAACTTATGATCCCCTAATTGATATTTTTCTTCATTTTCATCACTTGTCTGCTTGATATTGTGTTAATATTGGAAGGAGAAATCCTGTTTTGGTCGTCATGTGAGTTATGGGACTCCGTTTGTGCGAGTTGCTCGAGCTTCTTTACCCTTAAAGTCTAACATAAGCATTACTGACACTCTCAACAAATCCATTTCTTCCAACCTCTAGTGCCGACCATGGGGTCGTTCAAGCGGGGCACGTGGAAAAATTCCGAAGTTGGGTGCGTGTGAACAGCGGTGGTCAGAACACGTGGCTATCTCCAGCAACGTTCAAAAGCAAGTGTGCGCTTAGTTTCAAAAACTTTCCCTTTGACAAACAGAAGTGCAGCCTGGTTTTTCGTTCAGTAACTGCTGATCGTACCCTTTTGAACATCGACACTACACCCATCAAGAACGATGATCCTGAGAAAGGTATGATTACATGGCAATATTTGTGTGACAATTTGAAGAAAATAGGTCCTGAGTCAACTCAAATAAACTATTGCCTTTGAAAAACAATAAGGAGTGCAATTAAATATATCCTTAATTGCCTTATTTTTCATGACTTAGAGCTTAATCTATCGGCATCTAATGGTTATTGGACTCTAAGAAGCTTTGAGATCAAGATAGAGGATAAAAAGCAATCACCGATTTTCAGCAAAGTTGAAGTATCATTTCGTATTGGACGTAAACCCTTGTTCTTTGTCCTTTTCACCATCGTTCCTTGCATGATCATTGGGCTGCTGGTTCTTGTGAGTTTCTTCATTCCCACGGAGAGCGGCGGAAGGATCGGACTGTGCTCAACGATTCTGCTGTCAGTCAGTGTGTACCTACTCGTCGTCGTAAATAAGCTTCCGGAACAGTCCGACGAGTTGCCCATTATTGGTGTTTACTACATTGTGATCATGTTTGAGATCGGTCTGGCGCTGACTGTCACAGTTGTTGTCATGATGGCTCATCACGCGACTTCTGAGCCACCCAGCATCTTGACCTGGATAACAGGTGAGGTTAATAACTGAAAATCTGTCCATCTCAGTAAAATAGAAAAATGTGAACTCAAAGTCAGTAAGTGACAGTAGTAATCTCAATGGTAACTCATGACACGGTGAATTTATCACATTCATGAAGATGACCATGGTGACGATGATAACGATGATGATAATTACAGCGAGAAAGGAAATTGCGAATAGTGACAGACGTTGTACAAACAACACCTCTGATCTCGGTCATGACTATAATTAACAAATGAACTTAAAGGTGGACGTTGCACCATACATCATTGATATTAGTGCTCGGCGGTTGACAGGAAAGAGGTGACTTGGAAATATTTCCCCACCAATTTTGCGAAACTAAAATATTGCTTAATTTATAAAATTTCAGTGTTTAACAGGATTTGTTGCTGCCTAAGACACAATAGAAGAAAACTTCACATTGGCCCTACTCTCGGTGCATCTCCTGAAGTTGGGGAAAGAAAAACAAACATTGAAATGGAGGAAACTGCTAATGTTAAGCAAGAAAAGGTTGATAAGCAGATTTCAGCTGACACCCACGGGGAGGAAACACCACCCACCTCGGTTTCTAAAGAAGAAGTCGACAAGAAAACCTGGGGGGACATCGCTCAAGCACTCGACCGTATTTTCTTCTGGTTGTTTTTGGCGCTGGTTGTGTCTACTTCCATTATAATCTACTCATACGTAGGGAAGCTTTGATCGCTCGGTCAACGTAATTTCTATCAGGCTTTAACTTTAAATGCTGCTGAGTTTAGTCCACTCTGGTTATTATTTTTATATCAATCACATGTCTGATTAGTTTAAGCAGTTTTTGTTTTTCGTTACCCTTAACGTTTCACAGATGTAGAATCTGAAAACCTCTGGTAAACCCTATTGATACAGGAACTGGTTAGATGATGCAAAAACCTTTTCTTTTAATACATAACAGCTCAGTGTGTCAAGTGACTGTAATCGATTAAGGTGTTGTATCTTATCCGTTTGTGCAGGGATTATATACCCTTTTTGTACTTTTCTGTATCCGTGTGCGAACTAATAAATCTGAATCTTTTCTTCGAGAAACCCTTGCGAAGATTTGCTCATAAGGCTTGACTAATTTGCGTTCCAAAAAATTCTGAAAATTGCCAAATTACTGGTGCACGCTATTGTCAAAGTGAGAAAGGGCAGCAACCATCGCTCAGAGCGAAATTTTCAATTTGGTCGTTTCGTACCCAGTTTGAGTAAGTTCATACCCGAACCGCTGGTTGATTCGTACCCGTCCCAATATTCATTCTTTCAAAATGCCTTGCGCGTGAGCGCAAGTGCAAATGTCGATTGTTGCTTATGATGTTAGTAGAGTCAAGCGAGTCTTACTTGTGTATACTCATGACCTCCTTAACAATAACAACTAAATTACTTCTTGGCGTAAGACAAGTGCCATATTTTATATAGAACAGGCTAGTTTATATATTTGTGACTTTATTGGCAATATCTGGGTCTGATAGCTCATTAGTGCCTCACGAAAGATAAATGTAATTATTTTTTTCAAGTAGAAGTATATTTGTCTGTATTCGCGATAGAAGACAAATTCAGTTTCATGATTTCTAAAAATTGAAACTGATGATGAAACATTAGTTTGCATTTTAACTTCATTAAGGCTGGAAAATATATATCTAAGTTCGCAACTAATTCATTAAGCGAGTGCGCTAAAAACTGAGGTTTTGATGATAGAACTTGTAAGTTCATTGAGAATGGAAAATAAATAAATAACTACTACAACTAATTTACTTAAGGGAGTGCGCTCTTAACGGATGTCGCATGAGAAAACCAAGAGAAGAGAAAATGTCGAGAGAGTACCTTTCCTCTTTCCCTTCATTTTTCGTGTTGTCTTCCCAAAACCAATAATACCTAATCCAACAGAGATTAAAGAATTGACCGCCTATTGCGGTCCATTCCATTATTGAACTTACAACTTTCAGGTCTCACAGTCACTTCTCTTGGAGACGAACTAAAGCGACATTATGGGAACGTTTAGAAAAGGCTTATCCACATTTAATGAATAAACCTGTCCACAAAAGTGACTGCTTTGTGCCAGTCTTGAGGCAATCCTTCACCTGCCCCCCCCTAAACTAATCTTAAAGGTATTTCTAGGGGGGAATGGAGCCTAAAAAGATAGCTTTGTTGATATGTTTTGAACCCGTGCCTTATCTTTGCCGCCGCTCATATTACGAAAATATTTGGTTTTTTTTTTTTAAACCTCTGAGGCTCGAGGTAATAAATCTCGAACTTTCGACGCCAATAAAGAGATAAGCATGACTTGGCACGGACCGATTAGAAAGAACAACAGTTACTGCTTGCAATAGCTTTTTGGCTGATGATTTGTTCTTTGAGCGATCATCTCGCGACCAACAATTTTTTTGCTCTGGAATTTTTTCTCTATGATCATGTAGATCCGACGGGCAATCGAGCCGCGTTGCTCGGAAGCTTTTATTCTAATGGAATTCTGGTAGCCAATTGAACACCTATAAAAGCTTCGAAAAGCCCCTTGTATTATCGATACTGCTCAATGATATACGTGGATAAATTTCTCTAGCCTTACCGTAAGCCTTTACATCTTCCCGTAGAAAATCTCACATTAGAAACTTATTTGTACTTGTTTCACTAGACACTTACTCCTGTGTTGTCACTGGAAACCGAAACAAATTACAACATAGGTTTGCCACCTTGCAAAGTCAATGGCACACTTCTGGAATAATGTCTACAACAAGCTTAGAAACTTGGCCTCGAGCGAAACACGCGATAAAACTTGAATAAATTGAAAGTGATTGCCTAGTTAGCTGCCAATTAGTTGTCATGGAATAAGCTGAGTTCATTTACTATCGAAAACTCGTCACTTTTCAATGACTCTACCTAGCCCAAGTCCCAATATGAGCGCTTATAGTCACAATGAGGTCATTTTATATAAAAGGTATATCATTGTCGCATTTCGTTTTAAAAGATCTTATTTGGAAGCAGAAACGCTACTACTCCTTCTACTTCTTCTTTAAGAATTGTCTTTAAACCTTTAGATATATATCTATTTCTTTCCCCTAAGCAGGGGACGCTGTTGATTTAGGATAATATTTGAAAACCCCGAGGCAATCCTTATTAGTAAGTAACAAGGAAGATTTTAAAACCACTTGTAAATGCGAGGGAAACGGAAAGAGCTGTTTTGCTTAGTATCTGCCGGCTGTAAGTCGTAGTCTTCCTAAATGTCACAATTTTTCTGAATATAGTCTTTTACTATTTCTCCTAATGGAAATTATGCTGGTAACAGGAAAATTTATGCTGTTTTACGTTTGTGGTCAACAATCCATTAATAGTAGTTATAATGTCTAATGGATATAACCAGCCAAGTTGACTGTATTTGCATGCAGCTACATCATCTCCTCAAAGAAATTACAGCCGCTACCAGAAACTTACCTGTAGAACTAAAACATATTGGAATAATATAAAACGAAATCACCACAACTGGAAAATTCCCACCCTGCATTTGCTCAAGGAAATAACATTAACTTAATGAAAAACATCAAGGCCGCAGCCTTGAACGATTTGAATGAGGTCCCCCGTCGGGCTCAAAATTAGTTTTGACAGAGATGCCATGAAGCTTAACTCGTGAATATCGAAACCTTCCAGGTAACGTCTTTCCTATCGGAAGCTTTTCTGAACACCTTAAATTTCAAACGTGTTGCGTCGGGCTAAGAAATGATTACTAAGCTAAATTAATGTATATTCGTGCCACTGCAGTAATGTTTCCTATTCAAGAAGCTTCATCACAAGAAACTTACCGAACAGATTTACACAAATTAAGAAGACGAAAGAAGAACCAACGATCCACATTTTGGTTAAGGCTAGTGATAGAACATTCGCCAAAACATACACGGAAAAAAGCATCCACCTGCCTCTTTATGGAATCGCCTGATCTATTTACGTAGCTAACAAGTCACGCCATTATTACTCAACCCTTTAATTAGGCCGCAGCGTGAACGGGACTGTTCCCAAACGGAAAATTTTTTGAATTGACGTAGTTATGATATTTACAGAACAGAAATAATTACTCTTCATGGTTGTTCTGAACCAGTTGTTTTTCAGTTTTTTTCGCTGTTTTGACGGTTATTTATGGCCTTTGTTGTTCAAGGGTTAGTTAACCTTTCACAGTCGGCGCCAAACGAAGCCAAGAGCACAATTTAGATTTTGCTGGACGCTCATTTCCTTAAAACGATGACAACGTGACTTAATAAGCGCTAACGACCAAGACAATGATCATACTCATTTACTAAAACTGTTTCCATAACGATCCTTAAACAAGGGAAGTAAGTACTTCATCAAATCAAGTGTTTGGATACGAAAATGGCGTTAAACTGTAACAACTACTAGTCTATATGGTAGTGAAAATAATCTGATTTCTTTTCAAGAAGAAAGCACCTCGCTAGCTTCTTCCAAGTCTGAGAGGTTATTCAAATTTTTATACCTTATCGTTGATTTATTTATTTTAGTTTACTCACCTGTTTTCCGTCGTCGAAGTGGCTCTTCCTGTTTACTCCCCTGATACCAACCACAAGCTGCGGCCCAAAATCCATTTGGTGCGCTCGAGCCAATATGTGTTGATGAAAAACTTAAATTGCAATATTAGTGAAATAATGTTTGGAAACAATTACAAAGCTCTGCCAAACCTGCATATAATATACGCATTTTTCTTAATTTTCAACTTAAACACAGTCTTGACTCGCGTAGAAATTTTCACCAAATTCGTCGGCCAAAATAATCAGTATGATGTATGGACTTTGCTTTGAAGCTATCTTTTCAGGCAAACATCACGTCAGATCGTTGCTATTATCTTCAAACTAATTTGTTCAAGTGAAAGAACCACTTTGAGAAATTGTTGAAAACATCCCTCTTGTGGTTTTATAATTTACTTGACGTTCTGACTTCACACGAAATTATAACCACAGCAATCCAAAAGCGCTCATTCTCCCAGTTTACCTAATTTTTTCAAGAAATCTTAGGTCCATTAACTACACATATAACCTCATTTGAGCATTATCACACGGTATTATTTTGAATTACACATAGAGCTATTGTAGTATAAGGTCATGCACATATTTTGACTATGACGTGCGTATTCAGTTTTAGTTCAAGCTTTAAAGTTCCTGGATATATTGTTGGTTGTTTAAATCTCGAGGTACATGATCCCACAAGACCCTTACTTTCCCATCAGTATGCTAACTAAGAGAGAAAAGCTCTTTAATAGTTGAAAACTTTACTAAACGACGTAGCATTGCAGTAGCGGGAGTTGATTACAAAAGCTGAGTTGATTACTGTGCTGCAAATTACGTCGGATCATTTGAAAACGCGCTGCTTCGTTTTCTTCGTTTCCAATATTGCCTGTTAACTATTTCTTTGGCGGAAAGGTCACTTTTACAAGAAAATTTACGATTAATCTGCTAGTATCTCTAGTATCTTCCTTTCAATGACATAAAGTTAGAGCTAAACAAAACCCAAACCTTTTTTATTCCGTCGCCCAACTTTTTTTAATAAGGGACTTGTAAAGTAGTCAATTTAATTGCTAAACGAGCCATGTTTTTCATAATTGATATCTTGTCTTGAAGGCGTTTTCAAACTTTTACACGAAAATTCCGTCAAAAGAATTGAAAACGCAAAGAACCCGGTTAATTTACAATTTCCTCGCCATTAGCAACGATCCAAGTCAATTTTGGCGCATGTGGTGTTAACCAAAGTTTGCTCTGAAGCGCAAATTAAAATACCTTTATTCCCAGCAAGCTACTCTACAGAATCGTTCCTACTCTGATACAAAAACGCTTAAAGAGGGCGAGGAAGTATTTGTACAAAGATCCGAGATTCTACTGAGCAAACTTTTAGACTGAATTCCAGTACACGAAACCAAAGAACGTCAACGTTAGCCCCATTAGAGGCGAATTCTGCCTGATTTCTGAACGCTTTACATCATTGTGTTTTTTTTTCTAAACTATTTATATGCGTATTTGCTATGCGCTTTTACATTATTTCCTCTGCTGTACGCGTAAAGGCAAGTATCGAAAACAATGAGCCAACGGCTTCAGTCACGTTTCAATGACTGATCCTATGGAAACTGATCACATCAACCAGCTGTACCCCTTGAGGCAATGATTTGACGACGTGTATTTCGAGGAGGGTAGGAAGGCCAGTACCGGCGGAACTAGTAGTATAGGAGGCCATGGACGTACACTATTTGTTGCAATTGAGGCCTCGTATGTTTTGGATATGATTACAGGAGCTTGAAACGCAGAACACGTTTGCTAATGGTTCTGACTACATTTGCAATAGTCATCCGAAATGCATGATTACTACAAGTGACACAAAGACAATAGAAGTCTTCGTTGTTTTGACTTGTTCAAGACAGCATTGACTTGTCATTGTTATGCTCTGATTATTTTATTTTAAAACTAACCTTGATAATTTAGCTCCTTGTTCAACCAATTTCACTGATCGAATTTTTTTTCGCTAAAACATTCACGAGCATTAGAACTGAGTGCATCACTCTTCAAAAATGTTCGTGTGGAGGGGTATGCGGAAATGAATGGTTTATTGCTGATCGCTGTAAACTCCAGAATCATGCATCTATCATCACATTTACTTTTATTATTGAAAGTCAAACTTTTGAGAATAGTTGATGCTAATATTACAAGTTCTCTTAGGTGTTAAGGAAAAAACTGCTGTGTAAGACATCAATATACTGATTTCACAGTTCGAGAAAACCAGTCTCACCAGTAACATTCCTGTTATTCAAACAGCACTTCTGTTTACTCCCAATGTTGTCGTAAAGTCGATCGCACAATTTTTTTCACAAGATAAACAGTTACTCAGCTTTCAAACCATTTACTGTTTCATGCTTGAAAAGAAAAGAGAGTTTTGTTCGTTTAGAATAGACTTTTGCCCCAGGGGTTCAACAATTGTATTTTAAGTAATGTCTACAGCGCTGCGCACGAAACCACAAGGCAGATGGCGATTGGAAAGTTAAAAAAAAAAT